GGCCCAGGCGAGGTGCTCCAGTCAACCCGGGACGGGGACTGGCACCTCGGGGGGCTATGTGATGCCGCCGCCACGGAGCCGATCGGCGGGCGGCCCACCTGCGATCTCGCCGCCCCGAGCGACGAGGCCGACATTGCTCCACCCCACCACCTCCCCACCCCCCCCACTAGAACACACACGCACGCACTCCCCCCACCATTAGAGCGCGTGGGGAGACACCCTGGCCGACAGGTTTTCACCCAGAAGCCCTCGTAAAGGGATAATCTTCACGGTTTCCTGCGGCCAGGGAATTGGACGGTCTCCTCCGACGCTAACACACACCGTGGCGCCGTGACTTGAATAAAAATGACATGTTCACGGCGGGGCTGCCCCGCCACCGCGGTTAGTACGTACCTCACGCACACGGGTCGGCAGGGCAGGTAGGGAGGAGGGCAGAGCCACGAGCGGCGGGAAAGCAGGGTCGCCCTCTTGCTGGATGGCCGCTGAGCAGGTAAATTTAGATGCGGACGTCGCTGAAAGCAACGGCCCGGGGGATGCTGGGATACAGATGGGCCTACCGATTGGCGGGTGATCCCAGCGAGCTGATTGGCCCGCGAGTCAGCACCAGGTAGCCCTTTTGATGTAGAAAGAATAAAGCGAGTGAGGGCGAAGGACAAAGGGCTCTGGCTACTCGAGTCAACCCCAGGCCCGTCAACTCCCGAGTCCAGCCGCGCGAACGTCCGTGGGACGTATCGACGCGCCGCGAGGACCAGCCGGCGGTGACGACGAACCGTGAGTAAGAGAGAGAGAGAAAGAGGGAGTTGCGACTTAGCTTAAGAGGAAAACCGGAGAGGGAAAAGGGGAGAAGGACAGGTAGAGTGTAGTGCCGACTATCGAGAGATAGATTGATCCTGCCCCGCTGATTCCGACTGACTGGGTTAAATAAGGGCTCGCCGACGCGGTGGAATAAATCGTCGGCGGTTACATAACGGACTGGTGTGGTTTTTGCGAAGGTGTGGAAAGAGAGTGGAAGCGTGGGTGCGCTTGCTGTCGCGGTGGTCGCCACGTGTGTGGAGCGGCGCCGCGTGGAGTGTGTGCGCTACAAACCGTCGACTGCGGACTCCCACGTTGCGAACGGATACCCATCTCGCACGCATGCCCATCGCATAGCCCTTTAAACCCGTTTAATCCAATCCCCCCAATCGCCGGAGTGAGCACGAACGACGTCGCTTACCCTCCGACCTTTAACCCCCTGTTACCCGCGTGTGATTGGTGCGTGGGACTGCGCGGGCGGGGAGCGTCGCGTTTGGGTGCCGGCGAAGCGCTAGCGGGTCCCAGGGCGGTCGAGGGTGATGCCTCACTGGCAGGAAACCCGGACTCGGGGGGGGACAGCACAGGGTGGGGAACAGGAGCGCGACGACCTTTCCCCGCCCAGGGAGGAGTGCGGCGGCGGCAGCTCCCACACCAGTGAAGAGTCTGGGAGCGTCGGTACTTCACGGACAGGGTCACAGGCAGGAGAGATCCCGGGGGCCGGCGACCCTAACAGAATCTCTCATGGTAGCAGGTTGGTTTGCAAAGAACCTCCGTCTTGGAGAAGTCAATGTCATTTGAGCCCACTGAATTATAACAGTGATCTGCCACGGCAGAGGAGTTCATTCTACCGTGTTTCAAGTCTGCTTTATATTCGCGGATGCGGTCCGAGATATGTCGTTTGGTTTCTCCAATGTAGCTACTACCACAGAGGCACTTTAGTTTGTAAACGCCCGGGTAATGTATGTCTGGAACAGAATATTTTACAGATAGAACTAAATCACGGATTTTATGTACTGTGTTGAATCGAACCTGGATCTTGAGTGTATTCAGGATTTTGGAGATCTTTTAGTGACCCCTGCAATGTAGGGTACGGTGATGGTTTTGAGTGGCTCCACAAGAGGATCCTTCTTCATGACTGGAGTGATGGCTTTGCGGATTGTGTAGTCGGAGTAACCATTAGCCCTGAGAGCCTGGTGTACGTGCTTGAGTTCACTGGTAATGTGTTCCTGGTCGGAAATGCATTGGGCTCTATGGTATAGAGTCTTGATGAGGGAGTTCTTCTGGGATTGATGGTGGTGGGAATCCGGTTTCAAGTAAGCATCTGTATGAGTAGCTTTCCCGTAGACAGAGTGGCTCATTGAACCATCATGTCTCCTTTTAATGAAGACATCCAAAAAGGGTAGTTTGACATCTTTTCGACCTCCATGGTAAATCTGATGGCTGGGTGTATGGAATTGATGTGATCGCGGAATTGGTCTAGAGCAGGCTGGCCATGTGGCCAGATGACAAAGGTGTCATCCACGTACCTCTTGCATAAGGTCGGGCGTAGAGTGGCAGTCTGGATGGCGTCAGTTTCAAATTTTTCCACATCAAGGACTGCACACTGATGTACCCCCCCATGGTGAGACATTGCTTAACCAACACATACTTCACCTGGAATGGAACTTTCTACAAACAAACTGAGGCCACCCCAATGGGCTGCCCCCTATCTCCGGTTGTAGCCAACGTATTCATGGAAAAAAATTTCAAACTGACGCCATCCAGACTGCCACTCTACGCCCGACCTTATGGAAGAGGTACGTGGATGACACCTTTGTCATCTGGCCACATGGCCAGCCTGCTCTAGACCAATTCCGCGACCACATCAATTCCATACACCCAGCCATCAGATTTAACATGGAGGTCGAAAAAGATGGCAAACTACCCTTTTTGGATGTCTTCATTTAAGGAGACATGATGGTTCAATGAGCCACTCTGTCTACAGGAAAGCTACCCATACAGATGCTTACTTGAAACCGGATTCCCACCACCATCAATCCCAGAAGAACTCCCTTATCCATACTCTATACCATAGAGCCCAATGCATTTCCGACCAGGAACACATTACCAGTGAACTCAAGCACGTACACCAGGCTCTCAGGCCTAATGGTTACTCCGACTACACAATTCGCAAAACCATCACTCCAGTCATGAAGAAGGATCCTCTTGTGGAGCAACTCAAAACCATCACCTTACCCTACATTGCAGGGGTCACTAAAAATATCTCCAAAATCCTGAATAAACACAAGATCCAGGTCCGATTCAACACAGTACATAAAATCTGTGATCTAGTTCCATCTGTAAAAGATGCTGTTCCAGACATACAGTAGCCGGGCATTTACAAACTAAAGTGCCTCTGTGGTAGTAGCTACATTGGAAAAACCAAACGACATATCTCGGACCGCATCCGCGAACATAAAGCAGACTTGAAACACGGTAGAACGAACCCCTTTGCCGTGGCAGATTACTGTTATAATTCAGTGGGCTCACATGACATTGACTTCTCCAAGACGGAGGTTCTTTGCAAACCAACCGGCTACCATGAGAGATTCGTTCATGAGGCCATTCACATATACAAGCACAGAGACAATTTCAACCGAGAAGATGGATTCTGGCTTAGTAACCATTGGAAAGATGTTTTAAACCATTTCCGTTCTTAATTAATTGTATTTTACGATGACCTTCAGACCGCAGCTCTTTCGCTGGCATTGACTCTTAATACCTCTCACACCACGGTTAATGGTATGGTTTACAACATGGAGTATAACAGCGCCTCGCAGCTGTCTCTCTCCCCCTCCTCTGTTCCAAATATGGATGAACTCGTCCGTCTGAACGGGACCCGTAGCTATCCGTGTTGCTAAAGTTGAGGGTAAGAATCCACCTATTTATCACCATATAGCATTGTGATATATAACGACTTATTGTTGGTAGCTTAGCTGATTGGAGAATATAGAGTTTATTGATAACATTGAGGTAATTTATATTTTAGTATTTTTTATTGGTTCACTATATATTATTCATTATATATTGTATTGTATACCCGGTTACTGTGAATAGCTCAGATGTGTAGGCCTTAACTTCAACATAGCCTTTTCTGTGACCAGTCACAAGCTAATCACTCAGTTATTTCAATGCTAAATTCGCCTAGTTATTTCAATGCTAAATTCTCCTGTTTGATTTGTACCAGGTGCCTCGGTGAATGTATATGCTCTGACTTTAACATAGCCTTTTCTGTGACCAGTCACAAGCTAATCACTCAGCCATTTCAATGCTAAATTATATGCTAATTCCTTTGTGAAGGCGCTTTGTTTCTTCTCACACAGCTTAAAGTTCGTGATCTCAGCGTGGCTTTCTCACTCCAGCGCTGTCCTCCAGAGAGTCTCGTCCCCTTCACCTGATGAAGGCCGCTTGTGTTGTGGCCGAAACGTCGTGAGAATATTATTGTGTTATTTTATTTTATCAATTTATTATTTTATTCTCATTCTACGTGACTTTACCGAAAGAACCAAAGAAGATTACCTAGTAAATTGAGCGTGGGGGGGGCGAATGAGGCTGCGTAGTAGCTCCTTACCCACGCCAGCGCCCGCGCCGCAGCTGGTCTATTTTTTGCGCGTGCACGTGGTGAGCGACGATAGACTCGCACGGGTACGCACGGGATTTTTAATACGGCTATTTTTAGCGCGTGCACGAGGTGGCCAATAGGGGCGGGTGGCTGCGCGTACCCGAGTGTGGGCAGCGGCGCGCACGGGCACTCTCGTGCAAGGAGTCTGGGAGTGTGTGTGAATGACCCGAGGTGGCCGAGAGCCAGCCAAGAGTTTCGTCTCACAGGGGGGACGCGGAGGCAGCGAGGTCGAAGCTACGAGCGGCAGCAGCGAGGAGGGAGGAAGAGGAGGAAGGGGGAGAGGAGTCGGGGGGCAGCAGCCCCTACAGAGTCACTTGAGTTGAATGTGAGTGGTGATGATTGCGCGCCGTGCCTCGAGCTTGTTCAAGGCGCGCAATCATTTTGCAGTGCATAGCGATCATGAGCCACTCACCTCTTGCCACGTAATATGTTAAACTACGTGTTTAATGTCGGTTAATTTTGAGTAACTTGCTTCTGTTTGTGTTCTATCTCAAAATCCATGTATTTATTCATTTCAAAGTACGATTAAAACGTTAAATATAAAAGTTCGGTGACAAGGAACGGTTGACATGACGCGCAGTCCTCACCATAGCGCGAGAGTAGGAATCACGTGCGCGCGAGCCAACATTTAAATTGAAAATATTTAGCTGGACTTAAATATGAGTAGTCTGTTGAAGCATTTTGTCTTGCAAAAAATTCGAGTGCGTTATAAATAGTGAAGAAAATCATCGTATCTTGCCCTGACCGAACAATTTCTCCCAACTGTTGGTTGTTCACTTGTTTTGAATTAGAATTTAAATCGTGAACATTGTCTTAGATTGCGTAAGTTATGTACATTGAAGAAATGATATTCGTGGTAATTTATCAAGTAGATGCATTTAAGTATGAACGTTACGGGAGTAATCGAGCCCAAAGGCAGGGGGTGATTGACACGGCGAGTATGGTGGCAGCTCATTCACCGGAGGTGAGTGCTGGGTGATCTCAGCGACGTCCGCACAAACTCTACGCCGCTTCTATAATAAACCTCGGGCCTGGAGGATGCTCGTCACGAATTTGTGAGAGCGCTGATTTCAAAGAGGCCAGGCGATAAAAACGACGTTTTGATATGGCGGAAGCTGCTTCTGCTCAACCACCAGCTGCGGCTTCTTCAGCGCTTAAAAGCCCCAAGAAGAAGTGCACCGCTCTAAAGGCCAAGAAGGTCGGCCCCAGCGTGTCCGAGCTCATCCTCAAGGCTCTCGCCAGCAGCAAGGAGAGGAACGGCGTGTCTCTTCGTGCGCTCAAAAAGTCGCTCGCTGCCGGAGGATACGACGTGGAGAAGAACAATGCCCGCGTAAAGTTTTCCATCAAGAAGCTCGTGGCCAAAGATGCCGTGGCGCAAGTGAAGGGCAGCGGTGCGTCTGGCTATTTCAAACTCAACAAGAAGGAAAAGGCTGCCGCAAAAGCGAAGCCCGAATCGTCAACGGCAAAGCCCGCAGCTAAAAAGCCCACGGCAGCCAAGAAGGTAAAGAAGCCCGCGGCAGTCAAGAAGACCGCGCCCAAGAAGTCTCCCAAGAAAACAAAGAAGTCCGCGGCTGCCAAGAGCCCCAAAAAGGTGAAGTCGGCTGTTAAACCCAAGAGGTCGGACCGTAAGTACGAGGGAGAGAGGTAAGGCAAAGGGACGAAATTCGGAGAGAAAATAGAGGGCAGACAGGTCCATTAAGTATCAGGCAGTAGCGACATAGGTTAGACCTGTCCTGCTGGTCCGTACTGACACACACAGTCTAGTTCGATACTCGCGGGGAATAAAACCACTAATAGGATAAAGCTGTGTCGTGGTCACTGTGAGTGTGAGGAGGGAGACGGAGTGTTTGGTGTTCGCATACCGGTACGAGTGTGTACAGAGTGTTTTGTGTTCGCGCGCATACGCGGCTGTTTGCAGCGAATAAGGGAGTAGAACGTGCTTAGTGCTGGTACCTGTACAATCGTTTACAGTATTGTTCAGCGCGCGCGTACCTACAAGAATATATTCGGTGGTGCCCAGCGCTCGCGTACCTGCGCAATAGCCTACAGTAGCGCTTTGCGCTCGTGTGACGGGGTGGCGGGGTGGTGGTCGCACACTCGCGCGATTGTCTAATAGCGAATTAAGCGCCTGGCGTGTGTGAATACGCAACTGTGTAAACAGCCCGTTAAATCGGAGCAAAGTAATCGCGGCGTGTTTGTTTTTGCTTAAACGCGTGGAGCGTGGGTGGGAGGGAATCCCACGGAGTCGCACCGCGCCTGTTTATTCCCGTGCAGGACGGGGTTTTACTTTGCGAGCGCGCTCACCACGACACGCCGCCATTGAACAGGGTAGCGCATCGCGAGCGCAAAGCGTACGAGCCGCTAATTAAGCTACGCAAACGCGGTCGATATCCATGGCAGAGGTACAGGGGGGCGAGGCATTAGGGGTCGGTAGTCTGGACCTGACAGAGCAGCCGGGGGGGTAGCGGTATGAATGGAACGGGGGAGTCGGTGGGCAACGGCCCCGACAATTCAGTGATGGTGGGGGACGGTAGCCCCCACAGTTTGGTGTCAGAAGCGGTACGAACCCCCGCGTTACCCCACGCGAAAATAAGGCATATATTCACCGGCCGGGGTACACCTTCATGGAAAGCATTTGCCCGCAACATCCTAGGGGCTAAGGAAATTAATGGGTGGACGGACGCGCAGGCGTTACGTCAACTTAATATGAATCTGGATGGGCGGGCAGCCGATTTTGTGGAAGCCCTACACGCAAGCGCGCAGACACAGCTAGAAGAGCTGATGCGCCGACTTGATCTGCGTTTCGGTACGCGTGATGAGGAGGAGGCAAAAGCGGCCTTAGAGGCACGCCGTCGCCAACCCGGCGAGGACCTGCGCGATTATGCCAAGGATGTGTGCAAGCTAACAAAGATCGCACGCCCGGGGTACATGACGGAAGTGATTTAGGAGTTGGCCGCAGAGAAAATCCAGCGATACTTAATGCGCACGGCGTGGTGGCAGCCAGACATGAACTGTACGCGCCTCCCCTTTAACGCCCTTGTCGAGCGCGCGTGCAAATGTGAAAGAATTTCTAGCGAACGAGCACAGCTCCGAGGACTGGGACGGGAGCGCACCATCGCAAATCTGTCCACCGAGGAGGAAGAGGAGGAACAGGAGCTCGCCAGGACGGTAAGGGGTCGGGAAAGGGAGCCTCCGGCATCCCGGGAGACAACCCCGGGATGGGTAGCGGGGATACAGACGGGCATCGGGGGGATCGACAACAAGGTAACCCAAGTGGGTGAGAGAGTAACCCAAGTGGACAACAAGGTAACCCAAGTACAGGCACATATGACTGCGCTGCAGACTACGGTGGAGACGGTTCAGACCGAGGTGGGAGGGCTGGCCGGGAGGGTAGCCCGACTAGAGGCGGAGTCTGGGCAGCGGCGTACGGGAGGGGAAAGAGGGAGCGGGCAGGGAGGCTCCTACGGGGTTGCTGCCCTTCCCCGAGCATGTTACCTGTGCGACCAGCAAGGGCATCTGGTGAGGGACTGTCCCCAGATCGCCCGCGCTAGAAAGGCGCCAGGGTTAAAACGCCAATGCCCCCTAGAGAATGGACCACCTAGGGGTGCAATAAATGAGGTCCCGAAACAAAACGGCAATAATAATAATAATGGTGAGCGAGTGACCCCCACACAGGTTTCAACCACAACACCCAAGGACGCGGTGAGGACAGGCGACTGGCTGCGGGAGCTGGTAGCAGGAATCACGGGGGCCACGTCGCTGGTGGAAGGACAGGTGAACGGGCAGCGCACCCGGATCCTACTGGACACGGGGGTCGTAGCCTCGCTCGTGAGTGCCACACACTGCAGCGCGCTCGGGGTTGACGTGAGCCGCCTGCAGGCCCCGGATCGTGCGCTGCACATAGCGAGCGGAGCCAGGATGGGGTTGCTGAGAAGGATCTCCCTCGATGTCCGTCTCGGAAACAAGGTGTGCACCCAAGAATTATACGTCTCAAGTGTGTTATGCCACGAGTGTATTGCAGGTACGGACCTCCTGGAAAAGCAGGGGCTCAACGTGCAGCCCCGCCAGCGATGCGCCACCGTGGAGGGCAGCGGGGAGCGGATCCCGTTCCTGGGACCCGAGCCGAATCACCCTCGCTTCACACCCGTGGCCGCTACGCTGGTGTCGGCCGTCACCATTGGGCCGCTCACCGAGATGCTGGAGCCAGTGGCAACCCCCTCCGCCGACCCCACACACGGACCATCGGGCGAGGTAATGCTAACTCCTCACCCGGAGTTGGCAGCGCAGGACGGAGTCGTAGGGTCAGCCACGCTGGTAAACGCAGATGGGGGCCGACTGTTCATGCGGGTGTTTAACCCACACAGTACCCCGGCGATGCTACGATGACGCACCACAGTAGCCACCATACACCCCCTGCACGCGCGCCACTCTAACGACTCGGTGTTTGCACTCTGGGCGGAAGACCCTGGCCACTCCGAGGACAACCAGGCTCTGGCCTGGCGGGTCGGCCCAACCCCCCGGGCCGAGATCGCTCCCCTGCATGATGCGTTACATGTGCCTTGGGCAGATTTACCTAAGGGGGAGGCTGATCAGCTGCACGGGTTGTTACGGGACTACGCCGACGTATTCAGTGAGCACGATTCACATGTAGGCCGAACAGACCTTGTTAAGCACCAAATTGACACAGGTGCAGCCCGACCGATCAAACTCCCCGCATACCGGGTGGGCGCGCCCGAACGGACCCAGATCAAGGAGGCAGTTGCGGACATGCTACGTGATTACATAATTCAGCCCTCAACGAGCCCCTGCTCTGCCCCGGTGGTGCTAGTGACGAAAAAAGACGGGTCGACCCGATTCTGCGTTGATTACCGAAAATTGAACGCAGTCACCCTCGGAGATGCCTTCCCCATACCACGCATCGACGACACCTTTGACAGCCTTGCAGGAGCACGGTATTTTTCCACCCTGGATCTGGCATCCGGTTACTGGCAGGTGGAGATGGCGGAGGAGGATCGGCCAAAAACCGCTTTTAGCACCCCGATGAGGCTGTTCGAGTTTCGAGTGCTTCTGTTCGGACTCACTAACGCGCCCGCCACGTTCCAGCAGTTGATGGAGTTGGTAATGCGGGGCTTACAGTGGGAACAGTGCCTGATTTACCTGGATGACGTGATATTGTTCAGCAGATCTCTGTCCGAGCACTGGTCCAGGTTGCAAGAGGTGTTCCAGTGACTACGAGCAGCCCATCTCAAGCTCAAGCCGCGTAAGTGCTACATTGCGCAGCGCGAGGTAGGGTACCTCGGACACCGAGTCAGCGAGGCGGGGGTGCGCACCGATCCGGAAAAGGTGCGTGCCGTAGTGGAATGGCCATGGCCCAAGAATCTGACGGAGATCAGGTCATCCTTGGGACTCGCCACCTATTATCGTCGATTTGTAAAGGGATTCAGCGAGATTGCACGCCCCCTCACCCAACTCACCTCCCCTAAGAACCCCTATCGATGGACGGAGGCCTGCCAAACGGCTTTCACCGCCCTCAAAGACCACCTCACCCACACCCCCACCCTAGCTTTCCCAGATTTCACCACGGATTTTATCTTGGACACCGACGCCTGCAGCAGTGGGCTGGGCGCGGTGCTGTCACAGGTGCAGGGTGGGACGGAGCGGGTCATCGCATACGCCAGTCGGACCCTGAGTGGGGCCGACCTGAATTATTGCGTGACCGTCAAGAACAGTATGCCATGATCTTCGCGTGTAAACAGTTCCGACCGTATTTGTACGGCAGGAAATGTCGGGTGCGCACCGACCAGTATGCCCTGCAGTTTCTCCTTACATTCAAGGAACCGCGGGGGCAGATGGCGCGATGGCTGGCGCAGTTGCAGGAGTACAACCTGCAAATAGAGTACCGAGCTGGGCGTATGCACGCAAACACGGACGCCTTGTCGAGGCGGCCCGCGGTGTGCGCCGAGACAAGGTTGGAGGAAGTCTGCCCATGCTTCACGGGGGGCCATTGCCGGCAGGTGGCAGGCCCCCAGGAGCGCACCGAGACTAACCCTCCCCCGGTGAGAGGCAGTGCAGTATGTGCCACAGAGACCCCGGTAGGAGGAACCAGGGACCCGGGGGACCACTCGGCGGGCACGGGGTCCACACCCCGGGGCCCGACGGGTCGCGCAACCCCACCCGATCGGATCCAGGAGGACGTTGGCTGCGCCATTCCGGGCCTGGACGACGCGCAGCTGAGACGGACCCAGCTGCGGGATCCGGATCTGGCGGCGGTGGAAGCGGCCCTACGGGAGAAGAAGGACGCCCTACCAGGACCCTGGAGTGGTTTGTACGCCCGGTTGTGCATGCAGAACGGGGTAGTACGAAAGCTGACCGAAGCCGGCCAGCCTGGGTGCAACTGTGTTCCCGCCCAGGTGCGACCCCAGCTGCTAAGACTGGTGCACGACCACCCGCTCGGGGGCCATGACGGGGAACGGCGCACTCGGGAAACCCTGCGTCGCCAGTATCTCTGGCCCAAGTTAGCACAAGACGTGGCCGCCTGGGTACAGGGCTGCCGCGCGTGCCAGCAATGCGGGCCGAAACCAGCGCGATACCAGGTACCCCTGAGACCGTTCCGCGTCAGTCAAACGAATCAGCTGGTTGGGATTGACC